GTCACCAGCGAGGGCAAGAGCTGCCTGTTTCACGCATTAGCAAGAGGCATGAAACCAGAGGCCAGTGATAAAGAGATCGCTTTGGACGCGACCCGCCTCCGATTAACGGAGGCCAACACTCTCCTGAGACAGCCGGTCCAATGGGAGCCTTTCATCAAGCGCAAAGAGTGGACAGAAGCAATCAGAGGAGGGGATTGGTACATGGCAGAGGGAGCTGCACCAAAAAGAAAACTGAAAGAAGTAATGCTCGAGAATGAGGTTGGAAAAATAGTATTATACAAGGATTGGAAAAAATATGCAATTCAAAATCCAGGTATTGGACAATACATCAATGCAGATCACCAACCACCAGTGAGTAGTATTTTGAAAGCTAGAAACTTGAACCAGAATAGCAAATTAGCTGAAGCCATGCTTGGAGTGGCAACAGCCTCATCTCCGCTAAATACCCGTCTGATTCCTGATGTGAAAAAATATCATGGCCTTCAACTTCCGGTTGTTTGTGTGCCACGAGAAATACATCGTGAGTTTCCCAGTACAAAGTCAAAATACTTTAGGACGGAGTTAGCTGCTGCCATAAGCAATGATAATGTTGTGGACACCTTCAAACTGACCATCCTTGGTGGGATGGTCCGATCCGATTTAAATAGTGCTAAGAACTTCAACAACTTCCAAAACTGCCCAGAAATTAAAACCATTTATGAAAACAAGTTTAAGGATCAATCTCAACAGTTGCTGCAGACATGGCACAACCAACTTCAAGGCAGGGGTGTCATGACAAATGCAGATTTCAACACCCTTAGTGCATGGATCAACAACGAGGGCTACAAAAATCAAAACGATCCACACAGGAGCAAAGTCTCCAGTCTCCTATAATGCAAAGGTAACATGGCATTTAATGTAAAACAGCAGTGTTTATAATTTTGAAAATAGTTAATAAAGTGGTGAGTGGTAAATGAAGTAAAGCAAGGGCTCCAAACTTTTTCAGCTCAAGAAATTTGAGAGGGAATTGGATGTTGAAAGATGCAATTTGCCTACAAAATGACAACATAGCTTGTGTTCTCTATTCTGAGATCATGCTGAGCTTTTTGGCTGTTTCTGTATATTTTTTTCTGCCACACAAGTCTGTGATGTCAAACTTGAATCAATACATCTACAGCAGGGCCGTTCAAATCATGTTCCTCATGGGCCAAATACTGCTAATTTTCCAGACCTCCTTTACCTGTGAGCCAGGTGTGAAACCTCTGTGCCCAATCAGAATCAGTGATCATTAAATCAATTACCTGAGAGAACTGGAAACATCTTGTATTTTGTGTGAATTGGGAAACAGAAAATCCATTCTTTTCTTCTTATTATTGTGAAAGGATTTCTGAGGAAAATAGGTGTGGGGTAGCCTGGGTGGGGGATTCACTTGTGTTTTAGGCCTTCGGCAAGAAGATCAATGTCTGAATATACTATCCTTGTNTACTCAAATCACACATTTTTTTATCTTGAATACCTGCTTCATATATAAAGTGAGCCATATAACTGGCTATATAAACTTGCCTTACTACTGCTACTGCATGGATTGCTGAGTGTGTGCTGCGATATGCGCACTGCCGTGCACGGACAGTGTACACAGTGGACAGACGCTGACCACAAGGGGTCTGCCTCATCTTGTATTTTGTGTGAATTGGGAAACAGAAAATGCATTCTTTTCTTCTTATTATTGTGAAAGGATTTCTGAGGAAAATAGGTGTGGGGTAGCCTGGGTGGGGGATTCACTTGTGTTTTAGGCCTTCGGCAAGAAGATCAATGTCTGAATATACTATCCTTGTGCTATGCTTAAGCTGCGGGTTCAGAGGGAGTTTGCCTGCTACCTTGCCAGGAGAGAGAAGCCTCCTCAGCAGTCTTGCCAGATGAGAAGAAAACATCTGCCCTGGGCAAGCTGAGCTGCAGGAAGAACTAGAGAAAGTGCTTAATAAGCCTATAGGCTGTTTAAATGCATATATATTAGCTGATTGCTTTTCATTTAAGGAAATTATGATTCTGGAATATGATTGTAATGAGTGTGTTTAAGGCTGATTGTATTAATTATGTGTTAATGATTCATGAGTCAGTAATGTTCAGTCTTAGTGTCCTAAGCGACTGAGGAGACTATAGGAGTCCCAAGGATGGCATGCTAAGCAGGTGGGGTGGTGCAGGATCTCAAGGCGTCGAGATGACTGGAGCCGTAAAACGTGTTGTGCAAAGTAAAGGATGCAAGACATGAGATCACGAAGGCACCATGAGATGAAGACGTGAACAAACCCACCAATAGAATGGAATGGGATGTCCCTAGACCTATAGATTTAAGGTATATAAGTTCCAATTTCAAGTTCCACTGACTTTGTCCAGGGGTTCACTTTTGGGGTGGGGATTCTCTGCAAATGAAAGAAATCTTATCTTCTGAGAGAAGTGTCAGGAATTTTCTTTGTCTGTCAAATTGTGTTCAGGAAGGGAAAATGAAATGGAGGATTTCTCATTCTTCCACATTATCGATGTAAATGAATCCACAGCCAAATAAAGGAGCTTGTTAAAATTTGAATGTGTGAGTTTGCTGGGGCAGAGCAGATCAATACTGGGGCATGTGTCCCAGTAAAAGGGGTCTAGCGACGCCCAACTAAGGTTATTATAGTTTTGCCTTTTCAAAAAAAAAAAAAAAATCATATTTGTATTCAGTCTGAATTTCTGTTTAGTTTTATTTAGTGTCACCAATGGTTTAATAAGCATTTAATCATTTTCATTTTTATTTAATGGACTAATTTTCATTTTATTTTATTCAGTTTCCATTCCAGTAATTTTATTTTCGGACAAAATTTGTTATGGATAATAGCAGCATGAAAAATATGCTGAAATTGCAGCATGAAAAAGAATCTATCATTGAAAATACAGTGGGGGGATAAATGTAACTGAATGAAGATAAAAGCCATTTAAACTGGGGTACCTTAAATCCAACAAGTTGTCCAGCTAAGCTTTTTGAAACGGCCACAGGACTAATTGAACTGGAATGCGGTTAACTTGGGTGTGACATCATTACCAGCCCCAACTTCCGACCTCTGAGGTAAATGGGGCACATCCAAAACCCTTATTTGCATCATCATCCCTTGTTACCTTTCCTTTGCCCTGGAAGTTTTTTCTACCAGATTATCTGGGGAAGAAAAAAAAAAACTTTCAGTTAACTCCTCATTCAGTTATTCCAGATGCCCAAGGGCTGTCCCAATACCTCAGGGAATGAGTCATTGATGGCAAATTTTCACTCAGATCCCCCCATCACCGGAAACATGTGGAAGTCTAGTCTCTTTGCGGAAGGGAAACTCTCCTTTGGTGACACCCACGCATGATGAATGCATGTGTCAGATGAATTTTGTATTGGTGTTTATGCTCATTAATAGTTTATTTAGATGTTCTATTTACAGCAAGAAAAAGGGAAATGCTGCAAACAACCAGGGAAAGAAAAATGGGAAACTGAACCACATTAAACACTTTTGTTTTGTGGGGACGAGGGTATCAAAGCTTCTGCTTCAGTGATGACTTCATAGATACAGGTGGAGTGTGGTAAGTCAATGAGGATGTACGTGCGTCCCAATTAATACCAAGACCATGACTTTTCTACAAAATATATACTGGGTAGGAATTCATCTTTAACTGGATGTATAAAAAAAAAATTCAAGGGAGGCTGAGACAGAAAATAGGGTGGCTGAACCCCCCTTAAATAGTCTCTAAATAGGCTGCTATAAATTAATCAGTATGGTTTAGACAACATTGGAAATCCAGTGGAAAATGTATCTTACATCTGACGTAAACGATACAAACCACTTCTCTTTCCTGTGCACAGGTAGGTCTGCCTTTTACTCACATCAATGTGCTACTGACGAGAGAAGGTGCATGTTATTTTGAGGTTATAAAACAATAACTCATTGCTTTTGACAACAAATTACAGTTAAGTCTTCAATGCAAAAATTACTAGCAAAGTTATATATGCTGTGATAAATAAGCAGGTTTTTTTGCTGGCTGCATGACAGATTGCAATTTTATTATCCACCCATGCATCCATTTTCCATAGCTTGCCTTTCCCAGGAGTTACATGCACAAGGCAGGGAACAACCCAGGACGGGGCACCCACCCACCGCAGGGGGCACACACCCATCGCAGGGGGCACACACCATTCTCACACACAGTCACAGTAAAAGATCGTTTGGTATCTCCAATTCACAGCGTTGTTTTTAGATTGTGGGAGGAAAATAGGAGAACCCTGAGGAAACCCCACAACGAAATGAGGAGAACGTGCAAACTGCACGCATAGGCCTAGAGCCGGGTTTTTTTTTAAGGTTATTATTATTATTATTATTATTATTATTATTACTAGTGTTGTTGTTTTTGTTGTTGTTCATAGGACAAGCCTATATGGAAAATAAATGGATGGATGTTTCATTATTCAGTAGAAAAAGGTTGCCATTCAGTCTGACACGTCATTATTATGCCGTACTTCAGCGCCACTATGTGGTAAAATCCAGAAACTACACTGCTAAAGGAGCTGCTAAAAGAGCTCGCATCATGCGGACATGCTGAAGGACCGTACATGTCCACTCCCGCATGTAAACTCACTTTATACAAGCAGGTAATTTCTCATGTGCTTCTGGTAATATATATTTTTAAAATGTCCTTTTGAATATATTGTTCTCATTTTTCCATTGAATAATTAGCCCTTTAAAATGATAGAGTGTAATAAAGCAAAATACAGCATTAACAATAGGTGTTATTTTTATTCGTTCTGAGAATCGCTCTGGTCATCACAGATAAATTATATATTTCTTGTGACTCACTCACTGAACTACTTCCAAGCAAGTTTCGCTCAACCGCGAATGCACCTTCGAAACGATCAATGTCATATTATACATTTAATCCACAAAAAAACAAACTGCACGCAAAGTATATAAATATACTTAATATTGAATGATAAACTGGTGAAACGTACGGGGCAGCTTATTTCCAGGTAGTGCGCGTCTGTCATGAGGTTTGACAGCGAAATGTCCCAATTGCATTTTTGGATTTAATTTAAGAAACCCAATCGCCACACTGGGAGGGCGCTTTACTGTACCGTGTAGCCATTTGGCTAGTTGTAGTAGTAGGTTGTGGGACCTACAAATGTCATTGTGCATGTATGCATGCATGCATATTTTTCGGCGTATTGCATTGGTGAGGATATTGTTCTTTAATGCAGTCAGCCGCCTCGTTGACGTTCTAATACCGACTACATTGTGCTGAGGTCGGGGAGGCGTTTCAGGTTCGCTAAGTGAACCCTGAGCTCAGTCGCCCGCGATGGAAGGAGGATCGTCCCAGGAAGGCGACCTGCTCACGGTGAAACACGAGGTCACGCACGGTGAGTTTCGCATACTGGGGGCTCCGCCAAGGACGCGGAGCCGGGCTTCTCCGAAACGTGAGCCTCCCGCCTTGAATGCCAGCCGATGTCCGTGCGCGTCGCCGCTCCAGTTCCGCTCTCCCACTTCACCGCACCCCGCCTCCGGAGAGTTACGAAGCCGATTTGCGGCTGCGGTTCTCGGTTCGCCGATCTATCTGCAGCCGGGCCAGTTTTAAGAGGAATGGCTGCTATATCGGACGGTGCATTACAGCGATGCATCAGATGGTGCATGCACGGCGGCTGCAGGAGCGCAGGGAAGCCGATGGAAAACCGTGAGGCCTAAGCGACAGCCTTTGCCTGCGTGCTGGAGCTGGCTAGCTGCAGTGGGCTAGATCCGAGCAGGCAGATCGGAACCGATGGGCGCGCAGAGCATTATGCGCCCGGCCGCTGGTGCGCGGCTTTCGCGTCCCGGGTTAAAAAGCCCCGGCGGTGACACACGCGGTGTTCAGGGTGACAAACACTGTCCTGGTCACATTAGCTGGAGAACCATCCGTAGCACGATGGACCCGCTCAGATTCTTGTATTGGGTATAAATCGATCACCTTACCACATGTTTATTTGTTTATGCAAACTAATTGATTTTTTTTTATTGACAGTGTTATATGATAATACAGTTTTATATGTCATTTTTGTCAATTAATACTGTTCTGACAGTACCTTTTTCTGGATTTAGGTTTCCCTTTTCATTTTCGTATCAATAACATTTTGGACAAAATTCTCCAAGACAGAGGGTATGAAGAACAAGCCCAGTTAGACAGAGTGGTTGAGTCCCTTAGTGCAACAGATAGACACTTTGTTTTGTCTGTTGTTGGCTGAATCACTGCTTGGTATTTGATTATTAAAGTCAGGTGGTGAGGTTTCTCATCGTTTCATATTGTACTGGAAACCATTTGATAAAGTTGAGTCTGGGTTAAAGATACTGTGTGAGTAAACCCCCAATGGATCCCTTTTACACCAGCTGAAGTCAGGAGACTGTAACACACTGGCGGGGTTTCATGTACACATACAGCAGGGATGTGGTGTAGCTGTGTGTGCTTGGCTCTCCTCTGGATAGCCAGGCTGTAATTGTGGATGGGCTGTGCGGAGTTCAGGAGGCCGGTTATATTTGGTTCAGAGCTGTCTTAGGAGAGACACTTTGGATCTCCAGCTTGTAGCTACTGTAATCTGTCAGCATTTCGGCAAGGAGCAGAGTGAGCTTTTGCCTGTTGCAGTTACACCGTGTGTGTGTGTGTGTGTGTATGTGTGTTTTACAGGACATACCTTTTATATCCACTCACATCCATAACTTTTATATCCACAATTTCTTGAGCAAAATATTCTTTGTTTTTTTAAATCAGCTTTCATTAATGTATTATCCTATCTAGAATAGTTATCTTTGTCTACCTTGAGATGAACTGTGGAGTGGGAGGTAAGACAAACATTACAGGAATCCTGTTGTGTAACAGGAGCGTGTGGCTCCCATGGGGAGACATCTCCCAAGATAAGATGCCTGCCAGGCCCAGCCAGGCTGTGCGGAGCTCATGTTGTTCTCTGGGAATGTCTGTGGTGCCAAATGGATTCACTCCCCCACGTGTTTTTAAAGAGAAATAATTCCGTATAAATGGAAAACCTGGAATGTGAAAAAATGTGATTGTTTTTTTAATGAGGATCCGTAAATTACTTTGCTTGTTGTTTTGTTCTGCCATGTTTTCTGGCAAACAGGCAGGGATCAAACTCAAGAGTGCCAGTCTGGATATGCCTAAGGTGTAACTGCCCATGCCCAGAGAACTGGGCAAACTGGTTAGGCCGTGACACAACAGTTCACCCGTGGCGACGTAAGACAGCATCTTGGGCACGGATAAGCGAGTCGTGAACTCACGTGCCCGCGGAGAGCCGCTTGCCTCTGGATGTTTTGTTGTCGCCTTATGAGCGAGTTGTTTGAGAAGCCGTGTCATAATTTAATGGCTTCTATTTTCTCTGCTGCATTTGGCTCCTGTAAAGGAAATGGTTTGGTCTGATGCCAGCATCGTGTGGGCTTTGGAGATGGGGGGGGTGGTGGAGCTCTGTGGGGTCATCCAGGGCCCCGTAAGGTACACAGCGGTATCTGCACCTGAGTAGGACTAAGGACAGGAAACTTACTGTACATCAGAGTACACAACACAAGTGAGTCCATGGTGGCCGACTGTGTGGTCAAGACTCAAAGGTGTAATTTAATCAAACAAGTTTATTTTTTTCCTTTTCTTAAACTTTACTGGCCTGTCATGTATCTAGATTCAGGCTATGCTCGATTCTAAACTTTTTAAACTTAGTGTTCATTTTAACATCTTGAGTATAATAGTGATACAGAGGTACCTTGGAACATGAACTTAATTCATTCCAGAAGGCTGGTTGACTTGCAATTTGGTCTAAGGCAAATTTCCACTAAGAAATAATGTAAATTAATTTAATCCATTCCAGACCCCCAAATGATTGCCTATTTAAACTTATCTATCTACCTGACTAATGATAAAAAGCATTAACAATCAATATAAAACCAATACACACATTAAGAAGCACACATACAAAAGCAGTAAACATGAAATAAGCAACAATTGCATACTCGAGTGAGAGCAGACACACGTGCACCACCTTCAAGTCTCGCTATAATCTCCTTCTTAAATTCTACAGTTACTCTCACCACTTTCCTCTTTGGTTTGCTGTTATTACTGCTCACTTTCTTAAGGGCCATGATTACTGTACTGTACTGTATTGTAGATAAAGCACAAAAAAATTCACACTGAACACAGGAACACTGCTTTCGCATGTCGAACTCAGTTGAGAGGTACCATGAGACTGAGAGTGATAGACATCAGCATCCCAATAGGTTCGTCTGGCTTTGTTCCACCCAATCAGAGACGCGTCTGGATCCGTAAAAGTTTTAGCAGGTCTGTTTTGTTTTGTCGCGTTCTGAGTTTTCGGTCGAGTTGCTGCTAAATTTTTCTCGACCAAACCATTTGAGGTCCGAACTGGTAGAGTTGAACGTACTTCGACCCATACAATTTTTAGCAGGAATGGTTGAGTTCCAGGATTTCAGTCGAGGTACAAGTATTCAACAGACCCGTTCAACGACCAAGTTGGTCAAGTTAAGAGGCATCTTGTTCTTCAGGAGACACATACTCTACCCTTCATATGTGTCTAAGCTTGGGGGTCAGAGTGTAGGGTCGGCCGGTATGCAGCGTCCATGGTCCCAGTAACCTTCCCACCATGGGCACAGAGTCCAAACCCACTCTCTAAAACAATGCCTGCACTTACATTAAGACTAGAACCTGACCAGTGATTATCTGAGGAACAGATCCTGATTATTGACTAGAACCTGACCATCGACTCTCTGAGGATTAGAACCTGATCGCGTTGGTTGCCAGTGCCGCAGAAGAGCCACAGAAAAATAGTCTCTCTGTTTCTAATGCACCCTCAATACAGCAAATGAAAAATGTAGTTATTGTACTGAAATAGATGAAGTAGTGAGAATGACATTTCTAAGCATTTCTCCTTTTCCACTACGCTCGCTTGTTTAAATAGCTCCATGCAGAACATAAGGAATGCTGATCTTTTTCTAGCAGGCCGTTCGCATGATTCCTGCAAAGCTGTTACGGCCCACTGTGTGAAGAGCGAGTGTTAATGTCGACGTGTCTGTGTTTATGTTAATGTCGGCATCGCACACTGTCTGTTCCATCTGACAACAGTACCAGTGATCAGTTTGTGCGCTGCTCACTGAACACCGCTGCTCGCTGAACACCGCTGCTCGGTCGCATTGACGTTTCACAGGGTCTGCTCTACCGGGTGATCATCCAGTCTAAAGTGTGCTTGACTCTTAGGTTTGTGGGAACTCTTCACATGGCTTGTACACTTGAAGAAATCATCTGCTGTTCCACTGCAGGTGCATTAATCAGGCATTGAATTCATCTATACACTCTATCGTCGGGCATGTGATGCGGTGAGACACGAACCCAGGTGCTACCGGCGTCACAAATATCACGGTGGCTTCCTTCGCTGGTGTTTGGGGACTCACCTGAATGACAGGTGCATTGTAACAGGCAGGGCAGGAATGCAGTGCTTATCGCCTACGTGTGTCTTCTGTCTGCTACCTGATGGCTGAGCCTATTCTGCGTGAAGCCAGCTGACTTCTGTCTTATTAATCTGCCCTTCAGATCAGGCTAAAACCTCTCGGTATGAAGTCAAGATTGTGTGACTAGTTCAAAACGGGGGAGGGTAACAGATCACCTGCTGAGGGAGCGGCTCTGTCGCTGAGGTCTGGTGGAGTACAACTCGAGAGGCGTCACACTCTATTATCACTTTGTGTCTCCCCCCCCAGCAAATCTGACGGGCCACGTAGAGAGGGTTGGCATTAAGAACTTCGAGCTGCTAAAGGTGCTTGGAACTGGAGGTCAGTAGGCCATGCTCTGAGACTCATACTCCATGACATTAAAATAATTTTGTTGTCTCGATTCTCACGTTAGTGTTTCGCATTTTCACTGCTGCCCCGCCCCGGACCCCTATCCGCCCTCCCCCAGCCTACGGCAAGGTGTTCCTGGTGCGTAAAGTGAGCGGCCATGACGCAGGGAAGCTGTACGCCATGAAGGTGCTGAAGAAGGCCACCATCGTGCAGAAGGCCAAGACGGCAGAACACACGCGCACCGAGCGCCACGTCCTCGAGCACATCCGCCAGTCGCCCTTCCTCGTCACGCTGCACTACGCCTTCCAGACCGACACGCAGCTGCACCTCATCCTCGGTCTGTCCGCCTTGCACCATCTGTTTTTTTTTTTTGTTTTTTTTTAAATAATTTCTGTTTTTTGCCAGACATTTCATCCAAATTTGTGTGACTCACAGTTTGATGTTACTCCATAATAAGTGGATTACTACGCCCCCCCATAGCCTGTCTGGTTGTTTGACCTCCTCCTCTGGCCCTTACCTTGATGTTTTCACTCCCTCCACCCCTTTATTTGAAAGCGGCCTGTGATTCGATGCCTCAAACCACCGAGCGCTGCCATTGGCTGAAGGGTCCGTTACGTGACGTGTCCCGCCTTCCTGCTGATGCCAGCTTGCCATTGCAGATTACGTCAACGGTGGCGAGCTCTTCACACACCTGGTGCAGAGGGTGCGATTCAAGGAGAAGGAGGTTGTTGTGTATAGCGGGGAGATCGTCCTGGCTCTAGAACACCTGCATAAGGTCAGATTCCCATCCTCAACCAGTTTAGTCCTGAGTGTTAGGTCTGGTTTCTCTAAACCTCTTCTGAAAGAATGGAAGGAAACCAAAAAAGAAATCAATGAGTAATAATAAAAGCCATTCTTTCCTTCAAAAGCCAGTCTTGCAACATAGTACTGCAGTAATCTGCAGTTCAGCGCCACTGAGATGTTACTGATATTTCTGTTGTTGAAGTTCATTGCATTTTTGTTTGACTGATGAGCGATTAAATGCGCGCTGAATGGCGAGAAGTTGCTGAAAGAACAAACGAACAAGCAAACAAGCAAAAATAGGAAATCAAAGCTCTGAAACTTACAGTTGCTCTCTTCTGGTGTAGCTGGGTATCGTTTACCGGGACCTGAAGCTGGAGAACATCCTGATGGACTCCAATGGGCACATTGTTCTCACAGACTTCGGGCTCAGCAAGGAGTTCGATGAGGTACGTCAAGAGGTGAAGGAACATGCAGAACCTCCAGCTCTGTGGAAGTACTCTGCTACCCACCAGTAACGCACACAAAACCAGTGTGGTTTTAGGTGCCTCTGTTGTTCAGATTCCCCAAGGAACTCAACCCAGTCAGTATGGAGATGAATCTTCTGTGTTCTGAATTAGCCATGTGATGGTCTATAGTTAAGTGGCGATTATACCACCACATGAGCACAAATACATTTCTATGGTCATCTGTTATTAAGCTTATGTAAGTGGTCCCCCCACCCTACCCCATTTTGATGGAGCCGGTTTTCCTGTTTACGTTCACAGGGTGAGAGGGCATATTCCGTCTGTGGCACCATCGAGTACATGGCCCCAGAGATTGTGGCGGGGGGGGCCGGCGGCCATGATAAGGTAGGCTCAGAACTGACTCCTCCCTCCCTACACGCCGGCCTAACTCCGCACACGCCCCAGCCGGTGACCTCCCCACCAGCTGCACATGGCATGGTGATGGTGATGGTGCAGGCGGGCACTAAGCCGCAGATGGATAGAGCGGTGGGCGTATGTCGGTGTAAGATTCCTGTGTGGGATGTCCACTGTGGTGCCGGCGCCAGGCGGTGGATTGGTGGAGTCTGGGGGTGCTGATGTACGAGCTGTTGACTGGCGGATCGCCCTTCACGGTGGACGGTGACGCCAACTCCCACGCTGCCATCTCCAAGTAAGTGAGGCCGTGCGAGGGGCCGCCCAGGCCAGAGAGCCTTCTCCCTGGGTAATGTTCGCTCCCCCTCTCCTCCCGCAGGAGGATACTGAAAACTGAGCCTCCTTTCCCCAAGGACATAGGGCCCTTGGCTAGAGACATCATCCAGCGCCTCCTCGCTAAGGACCCAAAGAAGAGGCTGGGCTCTGGGCCCTCGGGGGCTGAGGACGTGAAGAAGCACGGCTTCTATCAGGTCGGCTTGCGATCGCGAAGCAGCGCCACCTGCTTGCCGGTTTTTAAACGCTTGGACTATGTGAGGTTTTCATTTGTCTCCGTCTTGGTGTGCTCTGCCCCCCTCTCTGCCTTTCCTGCTTCCAGAAGATAAACTGGGAGGACTTGGCAGCCAAGAACGTTCCGGCACCTTTCAAGCCGGTGATCCGGGACGAGCTGGATGTCAGTAACTTTGCGGAGGAGTTCACCGAGATGGACCCCACCTATTCCCCTGCGGCCCCTCCCCAGAACTGCGACCGCATCTTTAAGGCACGTGCTGAGTATACCAGTCAGTTAACCGGGCTGATCTTTACCAGTAACGGTGACCTGAATACCTACATGAATACCTGCATGTTAAAAACAACAACTACAAAACTGTTAATAACATTTATAAATCGATTGTGCTTTTAGAAGGGTGTGGTAGGGCAGCGTACACCCCCCAGGGCTGTAGGTTCGAATCCCCGCCTCCGCTTTCATTCTCTCCATGCCGAATGGTTTTCACTGGATCCTCAGGTTTCTCCCGCAGTCCAAAGTCATGTCGTTTGGCAATCAGCCAGCTCGCCTTGCCGCGTCTGTGCCACATCTCCGCCACATCTCCAACGGTGCACGAGAACATGGGTTCCTATAACAACGGGGATCAAAAACATAACCCTACAGTTGGGTCAGGCCAGTAACTCCAGTACTGGGTCAGGACCTAATAGGCTCAACCCAGTTTTTGGGTGGAGGAAAAATGTTTAAAATTCAGAGAGTGTCTCTGTCCTGTGAGGGAACGGCATCCCATCCAGGGTCTGCCCCTGCCCTGTGCCAGGTACTTCCTAGGATGGGCTCCAAGTGCCCGTATGACCTTGACCTGCATAGATGTTTAGTAGGTGGATGAATGAGCTCACTCTCCATCCTCCAACCGTAAAATTAAACGCTGACATTTTTTCAACACACGTAATGTGAAGAGTGACAAAAAGAAATGAAGGAGAAAAGTACCAATAAGTAATCCTTATTTCTGACACGGCAGCCTTTCCCCGACCCCTGTGCTCTGTTTGGCGGCAGTGGTTATAAATAGCCCCCTGCTCTGCTGGCCGGGGGGGTTCAGATGTGAGGCGCTGATATATTGGGTAAATATATGTAAATAAGCCTTTGAGGGGTCCTGAATAGCGGTGATGTGGGCCACGGCTGTGCCCTGCAGATGCCGCGCTCTCTCGAGTGGCCCTGATTGCCTCATTGATCTCTGCCGCTTGCCAGCATCTGCCAGATCAACAGATCCGTCCCGGAGAGCGGAGTCAGGCGGTGGCGGCATCGCCGCGGCGACGGCCCCGCGTCGCCTTTCACTCCCGCCGCACTCTTTAATTGCGCTCTCTTAGCTTCTCGCCCCCCCCCCCTACCTTTGGAGGCATGCGAATGTTCCCGCGAGCCTGGCAATTAACCCCCCCTCCCCCCACAATCGCCGCCCCCATCCTGTGACGCCGACTCGTAACCGTGTTTTTCTTCACCCCCCCCCCAAGTCGGATGGGCCCGGGCAGGATATCAAAGCGGGGCAATTGGGTTTTGAAGACGGGCAATTAAGGGAGCGTCGTCTCAGCCATCGGGCCCCCTGCCCCCCCCGCCCCCCCACCCGCGCAGCTGTTCCTGAAGGAGATAGCTGGCGCTTCCTTGCCATAGTAATGAGGGGTTTCGGTCGGGGTGGGGGGGACGCAGAAGCGCCTCCAGGTTGGATTAATAGCCCCAGATGGACACGGAGAGCTGCTCCTCCAGGGAATAATCACCCGTCTTATAAGGGGGGGCTGGAGGGCAGGAAGGACCCCCGGCTGAAAAGCCTGGACGTGCCGGTGTGCGGAACGCGGCCCTCGAGGTTTGCGTCCAGTGCCGTAGCTGCCCCGCCCCTCGTCCTCTCTGGCCCCCCCTCACGGTCCCCTCTGTGTCCTCTCTGCAGGGATACTCCTTCATGGCCCCCTCCATCCTATTCAAGCCCAATGCCGTGGTGGGCGATCTCTCGGAGCTGTGCAAGGGCTTGGAGCGGCCCGGCTCTGCTGCCGTGGCCAGAAGCGCCATGGTGAAGGTAATGCCACGGGGCTACGGGCCGGGCCGGGCTTTGGACTTTCCCATACGGACCAGGGCGCGACGCATGAATAGCTGATGCATGCGCGCATTAGTGGTGCTTTGGGTCCGGCAGAGATTAATAAACCCAGTGAAACGGTGAAAGAGCACCAATCGCAGTAATTTAAATTTAAACTATAAGTGGGATTTTAAAGTCTGTTATTACAGAAATAATGTATGTTAGTGACCTAAATCATGTCTCGGTTGTGGTGGAAATCCTTTGGGCCCATTATAAGGAAATTGGCTTAAATCTCGTCTGATTGAACCAGATGCCCACGAGTGGGGAGCCAGACCCCGGCTGGCTGGCGTGTGTCAGACATGACCCCTGTCCCCCCCCCAGGACTCACCATTTTACATGAACTACGAGCTGAGCCTGAAGGACAGCCCCCTGGGGGAGGGCAGTTTCTCCATATGCAGGAAGTGCACCCACAAGCGGACGGGCCTCACCTACGCCGTCAAGATCGTCAGCAAGAGGTACTGACAAAGACCCCCAGCTGGTCACTATACTCACTCACGTCATGTGACCATTACGTTGCGTGTCGCCCACACCGGTTAACATACTGACACATGTCATGTGACCATCGTGTTGCGTGTTGCCCACACCCAGGATGGAAGCTCAGACCCAGAATGAGATCGCCGCTCTGAAGCTCTGTGACGGCCACCCCAACATCGTAAAGTGCCACGAGGTCTATCACGACCAGGTTGGTTCCACTCACATCCTGACATTGAGACCATGCATTGTTTCCCACTCAACTCTGCCCGGTTCCTGTGAATGGAAGCTTCTCCTGACAGCCGCACCTGATAATCTGAAAATGCCGATACTCGTGTGTAAGCAGCAGCACGTCCAGAAAAGTGTTTCAGTTGGTTCACTTCTCATGATCAGTCTCTCAGTCGGTTGTGCATCTGTCATGAAACACACGACAGCGATGCATGTATGAGTGCATTTGCGCATTTGTGTATGTGTGTGATAGTGCTAGCTGGTTTGGCTGGGGCCTGGCGGCATCGTCTGCATGCCCTGAGTTGGGGGGGGGTCGCTATGTTATTACTGCCTCTGCATGCAGCTCAAGGCTCCTGCTCCCAGTGGCCCCCAGTGGCCCCAGTGCTCAGATCAAAGCTAATTAGTGATATTACCCTTCTGCTAAAGCACTCAGGGCTCCCCAGGCTTACTGAGCACAGAGGCTGATTGTTCCCTACCCAGGTATTAATGCAGCTGAATAATAATTGTATTAATGTGTCCTGCGGCATAAGCGTCCTCGCTGTTTCTCTACATTTAAATGTATAGTTAGTGAAAATGGAGCATCGATGGATATTTGTGGACGATTCCTTTCTGAATCTGATTCTATTTCATCTCCTTTATTTGCTGAATCTACTCCAGTCCTCACAGATGGACACTGGAAGGGGGCTGAGGGGCTGGAGGGAAGAGTAGAGCCCAAAGGTGCCTGTATGTCAGTTTTGATGCTCAATCAGTTTTAACAGGCAGACAATAGTGTGGAAATAATAGGAGTTAAAAAGGATCATTACCTTTACTGATTTAGCAGATGCTTTTGTCTATAGTAACATACAGTTTGGGATCAGAGAGTCACCCTGTGTACCAGGTGGTTAAGGGCCTAATGGCTGACTGAGCGTTACCACCACAGGATTCGAACCAGCAACCTTCTGAGTCCTAACCTGCAGAGCCACACACCACCCCTACAAAACTCTACGATGCTTTTCAGTAATGGGCTACTGATCCCCGGCCCCAAGTTTCCCAGTAAGAGTTTCTCTGATCATTCTCGAAAGGCTTCGGTCAGGGGAGTTTAACCCTCACCTGAGATTGATAACTCGACATAGGGTCAGAGGTGAGAGGTGAGATTGCTACGGAAATATCTTTGTGGAGGGGGAGGTGGGGGGTGTGTGTTGACATGAAGGTGCCGCTGACTGACCGCTGCCCCCTGCTGGCCTCTCACCACACAGCTGCACACCTATCTGGTGCTGGAGCTGCTCCAGGGGGGGGAGCTGCTGGATCGCATCCGGCGCAAGCGGCTTTTCAGCGAGACCGAGGCCAGCCGCATCATGCGCAAGCTGGTGTCTGCCGTCAGCCACATGCACGACGTGGGCGTGGTGCACCGCGACCTTAAGCCTGAGGTACGGGTCCTAGCCCTCCGCCGGGCGTGCGCCTGACGGGATCTGGGGGTCCCGCGCTACAAGCGTCTGAGCTCAGCTGAATGACTGTGTGAATAATGTTTCAATGAGATGCAAGTGGTCTCATCCGTTTGTGTAGCCTGCTGTAGTGTGCAGAGAAAAAGTCCTTTGTGATGTCATTTTCCCTTAAAAGCAAGGCCTGGCTTTGCCATGGTAACGCTATTCCTCCCCCCCCCCCTCCCCAGAACCTGCTATTCATGGACGAGAGCGAGGCCTCGGAAATAAAGATCATCGACTTTGGCTTCGCCAGACTCAAGCCGCCAGATAACCAGCTCCTGAAGACGCCGTGCTTCACCTTGCAGTACGCCGCGCCGGAGATCCTCAAATACGACGGCTACGACGAGTCATGTGACCTGTGGAGCCTGGGCGTCATCCTGGTGGGTTGAGCTCATGTTGAGCACAGATCTGTGCAGTTTAACACCAGCCTGGATTACCGGCCCTGAAGTCGTGCTTTAGGACGGAGTTCCACATTAATACAGTTCAATGTAGGCAGGTGGTCATGTGACATATATGACTGGTTACAGTCTGACAATGATAAAACTGTACGAGTAACATTATCAGTGAAATATGCATTTATTCAACTCCATTCAATACAGAGATTCGGATATTAATTTGGCTTCCAAACCTCATTGATGATACACTATTCATATTTGTGTTTGTTTTTTTCATCAATTAGCCTGGTCTAACTTTTTGTCCCCGGGGAAAGGGATATTAATGAGCTTGCATGTAGGCTAAATGTGACTTTATGCATAAACACGAAAAACATAATAACCACTAAATTGCATCAGTATCCTATCATGCACAGCTGACCATCTTCAAACTCCTTATATAAATCAGGGTCAGCGAGAGACGTGCTGCCCCCATATAGCAGCGTTTGCATACCGGGGCAGGTAGGTTTGCACGATCACCCTTTTCGTTCTGTTTAAAACCAAAATAGCACCATATCTCACTTCTGCTGCTCTATGGATCAGCTAGAGGCCGGCAGTGAGCAGCAGCAATTTCTCTCTTCCATCTGCGTGAAACTTCTCCACACAAGAGACGTGAAATGAGTGCGACTGTGTGTTTTTTTTTTTTTTATTCAGTTTGTACAACTATTCACTTCCAAGAATAGAACAAATACTCAAAACCTTTTACACAGTGTTTTGTAGAATATAACTTTGATACATTGACAAAGTAGTGTCAATGTATTATGGCCGCATTGAGGAAAAAACTTGAGATTTTGAGAATAGTTGTCAAATTCCGAGAATAAAGTAGTAGCCTAATATTATGAAAATAGCTGCAATTTTATGAGAAAAGTTGTTATATTACGAGAATAAAGTTGTAGCTTAATATTATGAGAATAAAGTTATAATATTGGAAGAATCTAGTCATAATTTTACAAGGAAAAGTTGTAATATTAACAGAATAAAGTAATAATTTTATGACAAAAAAGGCAGAATAGTACGAGAATTAAGTATTCATTTTAGCCTATGCGTTATTTTAGAGGGTGATATCAGAAGTCTACAGATAATTTCTCCTGCACAGCAAGTTGGGGTCACGAGATGATTTGCAGAATATATCTATAAACATATCAGAAAAAAGTATCCCATTTTAACCGTCACGGCTATCCCCCTTCGGCCGGCAAAATGTAACATCGGGACTCGATAGCTAGCACTGTGATAAAGATTGGAGACCACTAATGGAAACCTAGTGGTGGTCATGCGTCTCTGTCACTGTTGTTTTGGGGTTGTGGGCTGTCAAGCTGGGGAACCCATGTCCCAGCAAATGTGAGCCTTCATTTAGTGTGGAAAGAACCCAGAAAGCAGCTGAATGTGAGGTGTCTGTATGGTGTCGTCATGTTACCGAAATCTCACAGCTCACTCACAGCTTCCTACCATTTAACTTTTTTTTTATTTTGACTTTTTTTAAATACAAAAATTTTGTGATTTTTCTTTTTTGGCCCTAATACTCTTCCAATGTAGCTTAAGAGGGAAGTCAATACAGGAGACAAAAACAAATAAATAAAATTTAGTTTTCTGGCAATTTAAACTTATTCCAAAGAGATGTAGTTTTTTTGGGTTTTAGGGTTTGTCTATCCTCAAAGCTCAGATTCAGTACATCCACTATGTGTTATAATTCTTACGGCTGATTTATATTTCTACGTGGAATCTACATCATAGTCTGACGCGCACATCCCAAGAAATGTAACCACACATCGCAGTGATGCAGACCACAACAACTGTGATTGGTCCGCTTGGTGGCATCACACTTCCTTCTCCGCAGGTGTTTTGTCGTTTGTTTTCAGCTGGGAGGGTGTTACTGTGGGACAGGTTGTATTTAGCTCATTGCTAGCCTGCTGTTCTTGCCATGGTTGCAGACATTCACATTGTTAAAAAAAAAAAAAAAAAACGTGATCACAGCCATTCGTGCATTCCGTGTAGGCTATGGCGTCAGTTCTGTGTAGGCTATGGTGTAAGCTCTGTGTAGGATATGGAGTAATCTCTGTGTAGGCTATGGAGTAACCTCTGTGTAGGCTATGGTGTCAGCTCTGTGTAGACTATGGCGTCAGCTCTGTGTAGGCTATGGAGTAACCTCTGTGTAGGCTATGGTGTAAGCTCTGTGTAGGCTATGGAGTAATCTCTGTGTAGGCTATGGAGTAACCTCTGTGTAGGCTATGGTGTCAGCTCTGTGTTGACCATGGCATCAGCTCTGTGTTGGCTCAACAGAGAAGTATAAATCAGCCTTAAAATATAGTTTTGGTATTCTGATGTGATACTGATATTGGCATATTGACCAGCGTTATTTGGATGTCAGGGGGTCACTTGCATCATATATGCCTCATATAGAATTACAAATGCCTTTGTGGGGTTAGGGCAGCCTTTCCAGTGACCCCCTGACGGTTCGCGTTTTTGCTCCCTCCCAGTTCCTTGCCTGACAGTCCACATTTTTGCTCCCTTGGGACCTGGGAAGGAGCAGAGACATGGCCTGCAGGTCCGCGAAGAACGGTTTGAGAAACACTGGGTTAGAGTAACTTACGACCCTGACTGGTACATTTCTGCTGTTCTCATCACCGCAGTACACCATGCTGTCAGGGCAAGTGCCCTTTCAAAGCAGAGAGAAGAGCCTCACTCACACCAGTGCTGAGGAGATCATGAAGAAGATCAAGCAGGGCGACTTCTCCTTTGACGGGGAGGCCTGGAGAAATGTGTCCCAGCAGGCCAAGGACTTAATACAAGGTACGGCCCAAGGTAGAGTCCCATGCAAGAACAAGGTTCACATCTGGAGGGTCCGGGCTGGTTATGTCCTTTGAGACGGATGCTAACAGATCGGGCACTTGAAGGAATACCTGCAATCTGCATTCCTACGTAAATATAATAACAAAAATAGGCTTTTAAAAAACAAAGATATTCCTACCAACTGCTCGCTGTTTCTATGCATGTACAGTGGTGAGGAAAAGTTTGTGAACTTTATAGAATTATCCGGATTTCTGTATGAATAGTTCTTAAATCTTATCTTCATATATCAGTCATAATAATAAAGGCATGGATCTTTAGCAAGCATACACACACACACACACACACACACACACGCACACACACATTTCACATTGCCCTATCTTTATTGAACAAGTTAGTTTGTAAAAGTATGTGAACCTTTATTTCCAGTAAAGGAGGCTAAAAATAATCTCGACCAGCTGCTGATCAGACCTGTTCCAAATTTAGGAGAGATGTCGGCCTGTTCTGTTTCACTTCCTTTTATATTTTTGAGGATGTTTCGTTTGAATGGTCTGTTTCGGAATATGCTGCATGATTTCTATGGGCTTAAGATCTGGAATCTAAAATACAGCATTTACTCTGTTTCCACTCCGTTCTTGGCTTACTGCTGTGTTTTGGATCATTGTCACGTTCAGTGGCCCAACACAAACAGTCGTTGTGACATTGTGCTCTTGAATTTCTTGATGCTATCTGGAATTCTTTGGTCTGTCGTTGGTTCACAAACCATCCAGGCCCTGAAACAGCAAAGCAGCCCAATATCATTATACTTCTCCACGAGCTTCACCATTGGGGTGAGATTCTAATGTTGGTACAGTATGCAAGGTTCCTTGATTTACCTATGAGTTCAACTGTGGTCTCATCTGTCCTCACAGCATTATTCCAGTAGTGCTGTGGGACATCCAGGTGGTCTTTAGTGAACTTGAGATGGGCAGATGTGTGTTTTTGTTCATGGAGAACAGTTTTATCCTCCGTGGTAAACGTCCTTGAATACCACTCTGTTATTTTTCCTACACCATATTCATCAATATATAAATGTTCTCAGATACCTGCAGGTCCCTAACTGTCCACTTCAGGTTCCTTGTCACATGTTGGAGGATTCCTCAGCCTGTCCCAACACTGATCTTCATCAGACACCCACTCCTTGTCAGCGTAGCAATCGCTCTGAATATCGTCTGTTTGAAAACTGAAGGTCTGATGGTGGGTCCCAGAAAACCATGTAACCTTTTCCATTCTTAAGAGCCTCTTCTTCTGAGGTCCTCTGAAATATCCCCTTCTGATCATGCCATATTGGGGTTGAACACAATTCTATTGTGAAGAACAAGTAATTAAACATGTGTATATGTTGTTTTAAATGCTCCCCACCAAAATAGAATTGAGAATTTGACTGGAGAAACATTCCTCCTATCAAGACTTCATTATCCAGAAGGTTCACATAATCCTTCCATCACTGACATTGATTTTTCAAACCATTTATTCAACAAAGATATTATGACTATTATTATGAGTCTGGAGACTTTTTAGAAGCTATTCCTGCAGAAACTCCGACAAAGGGCTTGACAGCTGTACATCGTGGTTTGATGTCGATCTCACCAGAAGACCTTCAGAGGAACGGGCTTGACTGTAGCCGAGGGCTCGTTCATGTGTACGGCGCCCCCCTGTGGTGAGCTGTGATGTGTCTGGCCCCACAGAGTTGTTGACGGTGGACCCCAGCAAGCGCATCAAGATGTGCGACCTGCGCTACAACGCCTGGCTGCAGGCAGACAGCCAGCTGTCCTCGAACCCGCTGATGACCCCCGACATCCTGGGCTCCACGGCCGCATCTGTGCACACCTGCATCAAGGCCACCTTCCATGTGAGGCCTGCGGGGGGGGGGGGGCATCCAAACAATGATGTGCAATTAATTCAACAGAATCCAAGGCTTTTCATCATGTCTGACCTTATTTTCTTTATAAACCATAAACACAAAAAAATATATATATATAATTTGTTGAGGAATACCATGCCTGTATTTTAAATGTCGTAATCTTTTTTGCCTTTTTTTACATTTTATACTGGCTGGCATTATTTAAAATTTGAATGTGTATGTACAGTACTGTGCAAAAGTCATTGGCACTCAAAAGAAATGTTTTTAATGCTATTTATCTGGGTAGTAAGTGCACTTTTGCTCAGAGAAAAAACACATTAGAACATATACAAATTAAGAATAACACAATAAAAACTAGTCATAATATCTTACAAGCTCCAAAAAGTTACTGATATCTAGTTGGCCGGCTAGATGGACACCACTTCAGCTCCCAATCTTCTCCCCAGGGGCACCTCAGCCCTTCCCTGTATTAGTTAAATTTCACCACCAGCTCACTTAATTCATTAATGAAACTGGTTTTAAAAAGTCATTAAGACATCGATTAGCCATATGAGGTGTGCTGGTGGTCAAGTCAAAAATGTATTGAATGGTTGCTGCCGACACTGGGGTGATTTTCGCTTGTTTTGAAATGGCTGGCACACTTTGACAGGCGTACACATGAAGATCATTTAAACATCATTTTATTTGTACATCTGTACAATACTTTATGTTTTTATCTAAAAAGTGGCACATATCCCTTTATGGGGTGTATGTAGGTAATCAGTGTGTGTCCCCCCCCCCCCCGCCCGAATCTCCAGGCTTTCGGTAAGTGTAAGAGGGAGGGTTTCCGGCTGCAGACGGTCGACAAGGCCCCGCTGGCCAAGAGGAGGAAGATGAAGAAGACGAGCACTGGCACCGAGACCCGCAGCAGTTCCAGCTCCTCTTCCTCATCCTGCTCGCAGTCGCTAGACAAGACGCCCCCACCCGGTGAGGTCCGCGTAAAGCCCATGGGCACACCACCCCCTCCCGACACGGACAGCGGGAAGGCCGCCATGTGTCCTACCTCACAGCCCATATGCCCCCTGTCAGAATGACCCTGTTAGGGCGGGAGTGGGGGGAGGCATAAGCTGAGCTGGAGTTTTGCACACGCATGGGCGCCCCCTACTGGCATAGTTACTGAGACCTGCTCTGAATGAATCCAGTGACGTGGGAGTGGTCTGAGTTTGTCCTGATGCATGCTGGGCCTGCTGCCCTTTATAAACAGCAATAAATGAGCTCACCCGGGATTGGTGGACGCCCGGAGTAAGGCCGCCCCCTGCTGGCCGCCCATGAACAGTATGGCTGGAGGTGGCTCCTGAACCGCTGTTTTGAGCTTTGAGGGAAGGACGGCGTGTCAGCAAGTGAAGTTTCGCTCCTGTTCCTTTGCGGCCATGTTTGACTCTTCACTTTCCAAGTCAGCACCGGTCTGATTTGTAATAAGATGTATAAGCATAGTATTTTGTAAATGTAGGTTGAATTAATATATTTATACATAGAATTATAAGACCAATCAGTTTAACTCATCAATGCAACAACTCAACAACTGGAGCAACTTTCCTGTGGCTAAATGATAGCAGTGTGGCAGATTGGGGCCCAGTCTACAACTATTTTATTCTTGAGATTTGGCTATTAATCTGTTCATCTTTACAGATTCCATCTGACGACATGCTTTAGGGCATCACATCTGGTTCCTGCTTTTCCCTCTGAGCTGCATGAAAACGCTGTTTCTGTGTCGGTGCAGCTTTGTAGTGGAGGACCTGATGATTTATTGGTTTCAGCATAGTTGACCGTTTCTCCTTGCAGCGAAAGGCTCCGCCTTTACAGTCAAATTCTGGCTTCCTACCCTCTGCATTTGAGCAGATTCATGGAAGCGTCCTTTAAAAATGGCCCTGGAGGTGGAAACGGCTCCTAGGGCCACAGTGACCTGGAGTTGGGTGCCACCTGAAAGGCACCGTCCGTAGCCATGAGGGAAATCAGCTTGTTGATCAAAGACAGCGTATGTGTAATTATCATTATTCTGTTGGTGGGGATGGACTTGGGAACCAGAGAAGTTGAAATGGGAGAGCAAAAACAAGGTAAAAATGTGATTACAACTGTGTGTAACACTATTATGAATGGGATGAAGCTTTTAATGGGAGGTCTGGCAGATTTTATACACTGTTATTGTCCACACATGGATCATATCGCTGATAAACTGTTTACACCCACAGTTTCCACTGTCCATTTTGGCTATTTGGGTCAGTGGGACTTAACCCACTTGTTGTGGGTTAAGTCCCAGTAGGTTGCGGTTGGCATCATTTGGGGGCACTGGAATGTGATTGTGATTTTAGGGGCGTGGGATAGGCTGAGCAGCCTGTGCTTGTAGCATCACTTAGAGCTAAGAGAGACCAGAGCAACACTTCTCTTTGATACCTCATACGAAGCCTGGGCTCTATCCTGAATTCACGAGTCTGTGGTCTTCAGCTTCGTTTTCGATCTCTTCGTGTGATGCTGAGGGTGAGCGTGTTGGCATCTCGACATCGCGGCCTGAACGCCGGCATTTGCCTTACTTTTGCCATGCATTTTTAATTTTTAATCTGTAGGAAATGTTAAAGCCCACTCAGGGTGATTGGACACTCCTGTGATAATTATGATGTGATAATTATTGCTGGGGTAAGATGGAAAAGAAATTTTGTTCCTTTTTTAAAATTGTTAGAAGTGTAAGTGGAAGAACTTTAGGATTATAATTGGCGTAATTTTCATTTAATTACCATCTTAACAGTCTACACTGTGCCCTTCTTCACAGGGTAATGGTGGAATTGAGCTGTAATCTAATCAAAGGTACCACTCCAGAAATAATGGTGGATAGCTTATCGCTCAAGCAATAATGTACATTATAACATTGCCGCAATGGTGTGAACTCTTTGTGTTATTCCTGCATTCTCGTAGTAGCTGCAGAAATATACCAGATGTTGAAGGGTTTGGATTTCTGGCCAAGGTATGGTCTGCTTCACCTCATCTTAAACCTTTAACAGTGAAGTTTGCAAAAAAAAAAGTGAAACTAATTGACAGTTTGAGGCAGCTTACTTGCATGTCCATCCTATGCACTCCTGTGACATCGCTGTTCAGTCAGATAGTTACAATAAGCAGGAAGGACTTTTATTTTTAAAAAGCAGCGTTTGTGGCCGCTATTCTCAGCGTTGCGGCAGTCATCCTAAAGCATTCGTCTTTGTGTGTGTGTGTGTGTGTGTGTGTGTGTGTGTTCGTTATGTTCAGCAATTGAAGCTCTTTTGTGTGACAGGAACGAACGTTAACAAGCCTAGGACTCTGACTGAGAGAGACGTGTTTGGAGGGTTAGGGGTATTTAAGAAACTACTTTTTTGACGTTGCACTTTGTTGAGGAATACCATGACTGTATTTTAAGATAGGAGCAAGGGTTCATATTTAGTCTCTTTTGGCAGAGAACAAAAGATTTTTGAAAGAATTTTAGCCATGCATTTATTTAATGTTTTTATATAGCTATTTATCTGTGAAGTTGTTTCCTAGTCTGTCTATAGTGTTTTAAAATTTTCATTCTCAGATCAATATTTTTCCCCATTGTGATATCAGTGGGTTTTATTAACATTTGGAGAAACTTGGTCAGACTGTGTGAAATTCCCCCGTTATCTACTCCTCTGTCCCTTGTGTTTGGTCCTCGTACCCGTGCCAGCAGTGAGTGTTTTGCACATGCTGCCTGAGAGGACCCTCAGTAGTTACCTTGACAGTCTGCAGAGTTCCTATGCAGGCCTGGACTGGGATTAAAAACGCCCAGTACGCCAGATGGCCAGTCCCGTTTCACTGCGGTCTGTCTGCGGTGTTTTAGGCCATCTTAAATTCCCAGTTGTGCTCCTAGGTGGTATCCCCCATTATTCTGTAACAAGAGTAACGGAAAGCCTAGTAATATTACTAACTGCATTTCTGTTGGAAATACTTCAGTTAAGTGCTACTACAGTATTTTTTTTGCCTCTGAGAAAATCCTTATTCGCGAGAGTTGTGCTTTTATTGGGCAGCATGTGTTGGTATTTTGTTTTGTATTTTAAAAAGATACAGGGTTTCCTAAGTTTGATGGTCTCTACTAAAACAAAAAAAGTAGTAAATGAGATTACAGACACCTTCCTTTTTGGGGTATTTTCCACAGATGATTGCTTGTCAAGAACATGTTTCCCTCGTTCTGTGGTTAAAAACAGATGGTGTGTCCGTCTGGTGCAACACTTTAGCACGGTGTTTTTCTGTCACGGCACACTTTCCCAGCACGCCGGTTGAAAAGCGCTGCTTTCGGAGACACATTGATTAATGCAATAATATCTAATGAAACCCCGCTGGCTGACTGCCAGTTTTTCTTTTTATGTTAAAACTCAATGGATATCAATTCCTATATGGGAAGTCATTATAAATTAAATAATTATTGTCCCATTCGCTGCGTGGTGAAATAACTGATAGTCAGTACTGTTCTTGCCACAGTTTGATATCCAGAAAACATCACTTCAGATCGGGCCATAGTTGGCAGGTATTATATTATATTTAGCATACTATTTTGGTTTCATTTGGTTTTTTCGAATACCTGTCTAAGACTACATACAATATCGGTTGTTTTTGCAAGAACAAGAAATTTCTGGGTGTATCGTTCGGCAGCCGGAAGCGAAGGAGCTCAGCAGGCCAAACGGTCGCACTTTGGCTTTTTACAGCATCCATCCTTTCGGCTATTAGTGTGCTCCCTGTCGGGCGTTTCCTGCGGTGATTACACAGAGGAAATTTTAGGTAAAAGAGCTTTAAATAATGGATTTCCAAATTATACCAATTTAACTTTTGATATTCTAGCTGGACTAGGAATATTCTTGTATTGACTTATTCATATAAAATTGTGCATGTAGCGTACGGCTACTGTAGTACCAAACTAAAACATGGTGTCTGTCCTTTGAGTGTCTTGATGTTGTTCATATGGTCCGTAAAGCGTAATTTTTGAACAAAATTCAGCATCCTCAGTATTCTAATTGTAATGAGTGGTTTTGAAAAATGTGGGTTTATATGGCTTTATTGAAATATTTAAAGGGACAGTGAGTATTTTTTTTTTTTGAGACATTGACACAAAGGGATGGAAGTTTTTTGATGGTTTACGGCAATGTTTCCTAATCCGGTCCTTGGGGACCCATAAACAGTCCATGTTTTTGCTCCCATCCAGCTCCCAGGTAGGGCAGCAAAAATGTGGACTGTCTAGCAGTGAGCTTGGCGAGAGCAAAATCGTGGACCGACTGTGGATCCCGGAGGACAGGACTTTGAAACACTGGTTTAGGGAGTTAAATCAGCTCCTGCTCTTGATGTGTTGTACATTAGGTGTGTTTAATATCCCCAACGTGTCTTTGGAGATTAACGATATTTCTTGCTTTTGTCGTTCATTCAGTGTTTAAAATGTTTATGGGTGAGATACTAATGTGATCATGTTAAGGGCTGAAATATTTTGAAACCTTGAAAAGAATAACAACCGGTACTGTATCTTAATGTTAAATAAAACGTATCATATTTATGGCAATAACCTTGTCTGTTGTTCTTGCTATTTGCTGATTTAATTTTTATATTAAGGATTTGTGTTTTATTTATATTAAAGGTTGACCAGTGTATGGCATTAATCTACTGTTTTTGTTTGAGATGAAGCGTGATGAGTTGGTTATGTTTAGTGTATTTCCAGAAATGTCCAGAAGAGGGCGTCATAGTTCAGTGCCAAGGTTCTTCCTTTAAGGGATTTAAGTGTTTACATTTTCTCATGTTTTACTTTAACATTTTTAAGGTTACAATAAGACCATTCTACACATTTTCATCTAGGCAGCATTTGAATCTCCAACTCCTGTCCAAAAGGGTTAAATTGTCAACTCCAGTTTCTTCCCGATGTTGAAAGACATGCAGTTAGGGCATCTCAAAATAGCTTATAATGTGTCATGTGTGTAGTGAGTTAGTGTGTGTGCACGCCCTGCACAGGACAGCATCCTGTCCAGGGTGTACCCTTACCTTGAATTAATGGATGGATGTTGCATTTATTCAGCGCCTCTCAAGACACCCAAAGCGCTTTACAGAACCAATGGGGAGCCACTTCAACCACCACCACTGTGTAGCCCCCACCTGGATGATGCAACAGCAGCCATTCTGCACCAGTACGCTCACCACACAGTGGCTAAGGTGGTGAAGGGGCAGGAGAGAATTCACCGGTTAGATATAGGGGATGATTAGGAGGCCAGTCTTGAAAGAGCCACAGTGGGCAATTTAGCCAGAGCATCAGGGTCCCACTCCTCTTCTTTCGAACGTTGCCCTGGGATCTTTTATGTTTTTTCCCCCCCTGAACCCTGTTCATTTACCGACTCAGAAACAGACTGGTTAAAGATTCTGTAGTGTTCTAAACAGGACATGGAGGTGACTATAGCATTGGACCTGAGTGAGCCGTGCGTGGCTGGAACACAGTGTCCCACGTCGGGGGTGAAAATTAGATGCCTATTACGTTACATTTACTTTTATTTAGCAGATGCTTTCGTCCAAAGCAATGTACAAGTGAGGCAAATGGCACATTACAAAGATTCATGCTGTAAAAGAGTCCACTTACAAGTGCAGCTAGGCTGAGCTTCCAGTGAATCACTGGTGGGCTGCAGTGTCAGTGGGCAGCTCATTCAATCTATTTATTTATTTTCGTTCTATAGTGTAGACCTAATATATACTTTGTAAAGTTTTGTGTTTTCTTCTGTTTTGTGTGACTATCACTATAGTTCTGTTTTTCTTCTTTGTATTTATATGTATCTATTTTAATATGTATTTTTTGTATTTAATAATTTAAGTTTAATTTTTAATATTTTACCTGTTACAGTGTAATTTATTATGTTTCCTTATTTTTCTTATTTATAACACTGATGATGAAAATATATTTCTTCAGTTTGCACTTCCAATTATTTGTGCGTGTTTGTGTATTAAATATTGCTTTATGGGCACCGAAATAGCCAGCAATGGCTCTGGCAGATTGGTTCCCCGATGGTGTCATTCTCACATGAGAAATATCCGGCGTGATACTTCTTACGTGGTAGAGGGCGCTCCAAGCAGTGTTGGTTTGCTGACCGAAGAGGGCAAGATGGGGCGCAGGACTTTAGGAGCCGCTGGATGGAGATGGGTGCCTGTCCATTAGTGGATCTGAAGGCCAACTCCAAGGACTTTAGACTTGATGTGCGCGCCTGTTGCGAGTCAGTGAGGGGAGACCAGGAGGGGTTTAACGTGAGAAGGTTTAGGCTGATTGAATATCAGACGTGCTGTCATTACATCTTCCTGGCAGACCTTCATGAAGACAGCGTCGATGATGCAGGTCAAACAGTAATATCATGATGGATTCCAGGGCTGTCTGGGAAGTCGAGAAGCTCAGTCTCATCCAGATTTAGCAGGAGGGCGTCGCAGATGACGCATCTTCTCGCTGTGCTCACTCTGATGCTCCTGTAGGCTCTGAAGTCTCCTGTAGTGGACAAGGACCAAAGCACTTGGAACAGGAAGCATGGAAAGAAAATCATACAGAGAAGAAGAGAGGAGAGGCTGGCTGTGTCCCTTTCAGTCTCCCCACTGCTTTTGACTGACTGGTCTGCCTGTTTTAGTTCTACTTATCCTTCTCACCCCCCACCCCCAAACACTTCCAACTGGCTCATTTAGGGCAGCTTGTGTTCAGAGTCACTCCTAAGATGCAGGGGGTGCTTCTGGGATCTACCTGACATCTTATAAGTGCACTGGAAGGGTTTCGGCAGCCAGACAAAAACGTTTTTGCCTTTGTGGCCCTTTCCAGTTCAGTGGAAAAGAACGTCTGGTAGAATTTTATCATTTGTTCATTTTAATTGGTTTCCTTACGCAGACCACCACGTCCTTGGGGGGCACTAAGTGTAACCCTCCTCCAACCCATTGACTAATGTCTTTTAAATAATAAATGTGATATGTGTTTAATATCTAATATATTTAATATGATTGTATGTTGTTCTTTTAAAATGGCACTCAGTGAAAATCCAGTGTAACATTTTCCCTATGTCAGTGTTTCTCAAACCTGTCCTCGGAGACCCCCAGACTGTCTGCTTTTTTGCTCCCTCCCAACTCCCAGGAAACTAGGAGAAGCAAAAACATGCATCATCTGGGGGTCCCTGACGATTGTTTTGAATAACATTGGCCTAAATTGCATTTCTGAATTGTGTGGGCCACTAATCAGCTCCATCCAGAGGTATTTGCTACTCTTTATCCGGCTTTGGTTAAGGATGGCACAGTGTCCAGCTTTGGCTACAGGTGGCACAGTGTCTAGCTTCGGCTAAGGATGGCACAGTGGCAGAACTGGAAAATTTTCAGTGTGGTGCCCAGAGTGGGAGCAGAGGTCATTTTGGGGTGACACACAAATCTAAATATGAATATAATGCATCTAGAACAAAAGGGAATATTTAAGGTACCTAAACGCTATAACTCTGCATTGTTTATTATTCAGGCAGTGGTGGAATTATCAAATACACGTAATAGATCAATTTCTAGCAGCAACGGTAGTAAGCTTACACTGAGTACAAGGTTACTCCTGCATTACTCCTGTTCTGAGAGCACATGTTTAGCTCAGCAGTACTATGAGTTCATTCTTTATTGGTATGTGATCAGGGACACAGAGAAACAGATACGTAATAAAAGGAGTTTTTTAAACAAAGTCTGATTTAACCAAAATGCAAAGATGACAGGGGTGGCCCATGGGGTGAACAGATTTCAGTCTAGGGGGCCGTGGCCACCCCCGAGATCCACATATGGGATGGCATCATCTTAGCATGCGGTCCAAGTCCCCAAGTCAGGTGACACTCTATGTATTCACTGCTGAAAAGCCAGTATACAGTCACCAAACTGAGTGCTCACTGTCAAATATCCATAACAAAGGTTTAGCATGGTTTTTACCCATTCAGTCTGGCCTAATAAAGTTCCTTCATTATATACTTTTTGCAAAATGACATAAGTGACTTATTTCCTCACCTTATCTGCTGGTGTAGGGGCATGCCGGGCCGTCGCGGGGGACGGGGCTGGGGTACGCCCCGGACGGCGTGCCGGGCCGTCGCGGGGGACGGGGCTGGGGTACGCCCCGGACGGCGTGCCGGCCCATCGCGGGGTACACACTCACATCACAGCACTAATGGATTTGCGAAATCTTTGTACACAACTTTCAAATCAGTAATGGAAATGGGGAAAATAATTATGAGATTTAACCACTGTAGCAGAAATTCAGTATTTTTAGCTTATTTGTGCAGTTATTTGTGCCTGAGTGACGAATCCTTCTCTCGCCACTGAAAATGCATGCAGATGTCTGCCTTTGTTTTTCCTTTGAGATCTGATGGAAATAAAGTTAGAAACTCCACTCGCTTAAGTATATGGTTACCATGACAATGTAGCATTGCAAGGGAATCAAGAACAATTTTCTTTTAGTATTTTTATCTTGCATCCCACCATTATTGATGAAGTGAGATTACCTGAAAAGGAGAATGGATTCGTAGAAAAATTATATGGTACTATTTTCTAAGAATTTGATAAGACTGAAAAATGCCAAAATTGTAGGTGTCTTGGACAAAAAAAAAATAAAAAAATTATTTAACATATAAAAGGAACAGTTTCAGATATTACAACAGCCGGTCAAACACAGACAAATGCAATTTGAAGGGTTAGACAAAATACTTGGCCAGATAGACATGTACAAACCTCACAAAGGTACAGCCTCAAAAATGGCCGCCAAACTGAGGCAGCACCTCAGTGACCTACAGTACGCGCATCAGCGACTGCACATCTGGAGCTTCACAGAGCTGGAATTTACGGTAGTCATACTGTTCATAGATGCATGACCTGGTGAAAGTAGCACAAACCCTGGACCCCTGAGCAATAGTAATACAATAATGGCCAGATGAGTCATCCTTCACCCTTTTTCCTACAGCCGTTTGGGTTTCCGTTTGACGAAATTCAAAGTGGTGTTGGTCTGTTGGTATGGGCAGGCATCTCATGGGAGCCATTATGTCCAGCGATTACCCTACGTGGTCGAATAAGGAACAGCCAAGGAGAATGAGGCCATTTTACCAGACCAGGTGCAGTTTATGGTCAAACGCCGTTCCCACATGATGTTACCATATTCCAGAACAATTGAAACGCCATCCACAGCCTCCTCAGTGACGAAATATCAACATTGTGAAACTTTATGTGAAGTTAATATCTGGCTACACACAATGTAGGGTATGTGAGGCAGCATTTCGAGGAGGACTGGAGCTGCTCTGATGGCAAAGGGTGACTGTACTCAGTAATAGGTCCTAGATATTAAAATATTGGTATTGTTTTTCCACTATTTTGTTCACCCCTTACGTAAACAGGTTCTGTAATGAATTGTAAGGAAAGTCAGACTTACTGCAACCCTGTCAATGATGAGATTGTTTGGAATGGAAAATTTTAGGAGGATACAAACTAGGGATGGTAAGATCCACTGATTTGCATCGTTGCACCGACATGAAACTTTGGTGCGACTTCCCCCCT